TAATTTAAAGTATGTAGGCCGAAAATATATGTAACCCCTAATTAAAGTTTAAGTCGTAATGGGAAGGCTTATTAATTTTCTATGTAAAGGGATGGCAACGAGGCATGTATGAGATGGGTCAGCCATTCCCACCTCCGTCCCGTCGAGCATTTTTGTTATCTTATCCCATATCCATACTCGATTAAAGTGGGGTGGGATAGGTCATCTACCCCATTTATCGTCCCATTCATTTTTTTTCTTTTTATTTTTTATTTATTTTATTTTTTGCTTTTTTTTTTGTCCTTAATAAATATTATTACTTATTTACCAATTTGTTAAAACAATTTTTGTTCTCTTTAAAAATGATAAGAAATATATTATTTTTGTTTGATAAAAATTTAAATTTGAAATTAAATTTAAACGGGACGGGTAGCGGGGCGGGGATTATATTTCCCGTACCCGTCCCATACTCGCTTCGGGGCAATGACTCTCGCCCCGTACCCATCCCATTTACTTGGTTAGACGGATAATTCTCGCCCTATTCAAGATAAGATCTCACGGGTGTCAGGTTGAACGGGTTTTTTTGTCATCCCTAGGCTAGGTCCCCTCGTCTCCATATTGTTTTTATTAGCTTGCCTCATTGACAGCTAATACTTTGGGAGGAGCAAGGAGGGGAAAAGCTAACTGCTATTATTCATATCAACGATAGTTTTTGTAGGTATGAATTCGATTTATCAACTTATTATTATGTGATTCTTGATTTTTAGCATGATTACAATTAAATTCAACACTCTTTTATTCGATCAAACCACAAATAAATGAGTTACTATTGATCTCCCTTCCCTCCTGTGTATACATTTGTTTGCAATATGCATGGTTGCTCGATTGAAATCTATTTTGTCGTGCTCCAAGTATTGAGGAGATAGTTGAAACATCAAACAATGTTCATACATAGCTTTAAGTAAATAAAAGCACATCTCAGCAATGGCAATATTGATTGTTCACTTCAATCACTTATTGACAAATAAACATTACCTCAACTATACAATAGTTTTTAATGTTTTCCCTCGACTAGGAAGTAATATTTTATAAATTTTATTATGAAAAAAGTGCAAACCAAGAACCATAATTAGAAATATCGAAATTCTGTAATAATTCACAAAATTAGCTTATTACCTTAGTTTCTTTTGTGTTATTGTCTCAATCCAGTTGGATGAGAAAAATAATTAAACGAATTAAGTAGAATGACGAATTTTATTACATTTACCATGGGTTTACTGTTTCTTTTTCGAAATATTTTTGACAAGGTAGAATTTGTTAAAGATTACAATAATCGTGGAAAGATTGAAAGAATAAGAATATCTTTTGGCATTAACTTTTTGAAATGTGATCTTTCGCAGAGGGATGGAATAACCTTTAGGAAAGATACTTCATTATAATGGGAAATCTTATCAATATAGTATTTTTATAATTTTTTTTTCTTGGCTTATTTATCAGTTAAATTCTATTTACACTATTCAATAGTTTAGTGCATATATAAAAAAATTCCTTTTGCTTGGGTATAATTTGTAAGAGAAATTATAGGTGTACACCATGACCGAGAATTGCGGATCCCACCCCTTACTAGAAGGCTGTCCGACTACGCTACATTTTTTAATTTGTAAACGGTCTATATAAGATAGGTCGTACAACCTTATTGTGTGCCCTTTAACTCACAAAAAATCTCCTTCAAAACAGTTCTTAAAATCAAGTATTTGTTTGGTAGGAATTTGGTTAATTGATTTTTTGACCGTTAAAGATCAAGAGTACCCTAACTGTGAGAGAAAAATTAAAAAATTAGGATTGAAATAGTGAAATAACGATCAAAAATTGATTTTAATTGGCTCAAAATCTGTACCAAACAAGCATTAACACACACATCCACATNAAGAACATGACCAGTGCACAGAGAAGGGAAGAGAAAATGGTAAACAGACCTTGCGGTTTGAAGTTAAAGAGCGGAGGCAGTGGACGGCCATTAGGAAGACGAGTACTAGGATCACGAAGTTCATCGAAAAAGGGGTGGGTACAGGCCTCCAGCTGCAAAAGTTAAAATTATATAAATTGGTTAAACAGAAGAAAATACAGAGGTCACTACGATATATAATAACATATGATATAGGGTTTGGTTGCAGTGATTAGACGTCCCTTGAAGCCCATAGTACTGAGGAGGAAACAGATGACAATAACATATGCTACAAAAGATACTCACAGCATTACACCTCAGATTGGGCGAGTATTGAAGAAGTCTTGACACAAGATCCACAGCTTCAGGAGATGTTCGTTTGTGGAAAATCTGCCAGCGGCAGAAATGAGAAATCAAACAATTTAGCATGCATGCGTACGAATTACCATAAAAACATCAAAAAAGAGATCGGTATCATTACCTTGTGCCACGGGTGAGCCTTAATTTGTGGGAATTTGAACTCTGTATAATTTGGATTCATACATTTTATTTCCTCCCGAGTTGGGGTTCCAAGCACCTGCATATGAAAAAGGATAAGCTCAATTTTTGAACTCAAGAAAGCACTTTTCATCTCCTAACAAGTTGGGATAGGTTATACCATTTTTACTTTCAAGTTTGAAAGCAAATCATACTTTTCTATCAAACAAGCAACTTTTTTCTTCAACTTTGACCAACATAGAAATCAATTTATTTCAAAACTTACTGGTTTACTTAATATCTATTTAAGCTTATGCTCTTATCCATAAATTAGGCACAGGGTTACCTTGATAATTTCCACAAGCTGATCGACTCCACTCTCACCAGGAAAGAGAGGCTACAGAACAAAAAAGAAGAGCAAATATCATCAATTTCACAACATTGTGTCTCTGGTTCTTAAGAGAAATATATTAGGACTTGTCAAGAACCTGTCCAAGAAGAAGTTCAG